CCCTTCATCGATCGCTCGGGTCCATTGTTCTAGACAATAGAGCAGATTGGTCGAAGGAAAAGCAGTAAAACGAGGATATGCCGAAGATCTCTCCTAAGGTTCTGCAAATGAACGTTGCAATCTAGGACTTCACCCAACATCGAGGAAACGGCACACGTCTGTAAAAAAACAAAGCGGGCACGTTCTAAATTTACTCATTGGCTCCTGGCATGTCCAAATAAACATTCATAAGATTAAACTGATACGGATGAAAAACGTAAGCAGTCTATACCATCGGGCGGAAAGATTGGTCTGCTCTTCACCTGCGAACCTAGTGTGAGATCAATCTGACTCTTACGTCGTAAAAAATTGTATTTTGTTTTTTGTCATTATCATAACCACCATCACGAACGAAGCCAGCACCACGGTGTGGACTTAGTTTCAATCTGTTCTTTAAGTAACCCATCATTCTGGTCGGTCATTTGTTAATCTGCCATCGCGATCAGCACGAACCAGTGCCCCGATACATCCGTAAAACACTACGGAGCTGTTCAACCTGCGCCGTGGGTCCTATCAGCATGTATGCACACAGCTTGCCCGACGTTCACACACGAAATGGGCAAGGCTGCGCAGGATTTGACGTGATTACACGCAACCGTACCAAAACTATCAACGGCACCTCACTTAAATTTCACTAAAAACGCGCCCGTTGTGGAAGTGCGTCTCTTGTTCGGGTGCCAACTTGCTGCAACCCACCCTCCATTCAGTCGTTATAGAAAAAAGTTCTCTCCATTGGCGTTCAGTTTATATTCTTCCTATTCTGGACAGAGCATGAAAGTCGTAATGGCTAGAGTCAGCCTATGGCTTGGACTTGGGAGAAAATGGTGAGTCCGACACGATCAAATCGCGACTGCCAGAAGTTAGTGGGCCCGAATTTCCCCTATAGATTTCATGTTGAAGTTCTTGGCGGTCGAACTATAACGGAGGCCCGCGGTGGGTAAAGCCCTAGAATCTGGAGATCGGATTATAACTTTGTGCGGGTTTAGAATGCATAGCTTCTGCCCGAATAGCTAACAAAACGAATTGGACGAAGAAATTGCACGAGGAGCCAGTAAACACTGCAAGATGAAGGCAATTCCGCTAGACCACGTATTTTTAAACTAGTGTTGCTGTTTAACCAGCTGACACAACAACAAAATATCCAGAGACCGGGCCAAAGTAGACAGTAGTGCTTGTGAAAAAAAAATACGTAAAAAGGCCAGACGCGTAAAAGTATGCGAGCGTATGTCATTCCTACTGAGGGCCATGAAAAACAACTAATATTCAGCCCGGACACGGGATCTGATTAATTTCTCGCAGAAACCGCGCGACGGATGCCGGAAAACTTACACAGGTGGTGTAAGGCGAGGCTTGAAAACAAGAATTACCGTAGATAAGCGCGAAGGTCATTAAACCTGAGTGCAAACAGACAAGCAAAAAACAAATACGATTCCACTAAACCGCCCCTGTTACTAGCAGCTGGTGTTGTTCTCTAACAAATGGATACCACAAGAAGTTCCAGAGACAGGACAAAGCAAGCCGCAGAAACACAAAAGCCTGTGAGCGCATGTGATACCTGCGGAGGGCTATGCAAAAAAAACTAATAATCAGTCAGGACACTGAATCGAATTTAAGGCTCGTAGAAACCGCGCGGCGGAGGCCGGAAATCATAAACTGGCGGCGTAACGATAGGCGGACAAGCGCGAGGGTCATTTAAACTACTTGGGAACAACCCGAGAGTAGAAAAGAGCGGAGACATTGCGGTAACCTTGCAATCTGTTTTTCTTCAAAAAACCTTTTGCACTTGAAGGACTCCCTGACTTGAAAGAAGCACTTTATAAAAACATATTGACAGTGTTCAGTAGAACCATGGAGTGATTCTAAAAAGCATTTTTAAAGACTATGAGAGCTAGTTTAAATGTTTGAGAGTTGGGGTTCTTGGGTAGAAGGTAAAAGAAACTATACGAAGATGAGGGGTTCATTAGGATCCAACCGCAGGCATTCGATATGCCTGGCGGAGGATAATCGACAGAATGAGGGCGTCAGAGCGGATGATAATGTACAGCACAGAGTCTATAAAATTTTTTAAAAATTCTAACGTGAAACCAGAAAAGTAGGATGAACTCCCGTAATCTTCCATGAGATAACTCTAGTGCCTACGAATATTTTTTTTATAGTTTTAATGACTTCGGTGGAATAGAGCTAAATATTAAACAGAAGAACAGTCCATTTACAACTACTAGCGAACTCGTTCGTTGTAAATGCTGGGCAGAATTGAAAACGATTAATTACAGCGGCGCCGACTTCAGGTCCTTTATAGGTTTCAGTTTGAAGATTATAATACTCATATGAAGGACTGTTAAGACCTCTAACCATGATTACTGACACAGGGAAAAACTACGTGGAAACGCTGCTGGAGTTCATTATTCCAAAACTTTTGACTAGAAAAGCTCTTATTAAAATATTTTTTAATAAAAGGGAGCCACCTCTCACTTTTACAGACAAGTGAGGAATTTCATAAATATCCAGTTCTCTGACCCATAAGTCGACCGAAGGAATACCCTTGAATGGACTCTGCGCTGCATTGACCCCACGCTTTTTGCCCTTTTCCTAATGGTTATATTCAAATTGAAGGTATATGCGACAAAACGCCGAAGCCTGTTACAGCTTGTGGAGAGAACTCAGATGGTCTGCCGCAAGGTTAGGAAAGAGATGGCCCAGGACGCCCAAAAGGCCTGTGTCAAAAAGTGACTGAAGGTTGTAGAAAGTAAAGGCGCTCATGAGGAGGTATGCGGTAATTCTTGGAGGCGTTAGGCCGTGATGACAAGTCTCACAGGTAAGACCCAAACGAC